GTTTGGTCCACGGGTGAACGAAGCTACTCTGGCTCGATATCGTAAGCGGTTCGTCTGGACTTTAGCCGGAAACAACGCTGGGACGAGAGCGGCCACTATGTCCCGCAGCAGGGGAACCTTCTCAGCCCTCGTCCTTGTTGCTACCCCCAACCTGCACACTCAGCAACTGGGCATGGACACTCGCCTACACCATTTGCACATCTCAAGCTCCTCTCTGGCGGATCATCCCACCAGCCCTCAGGAGATGCTACATCACCATGATTTCGGGATACTTGAAGCCAATGAACCAATGGCAAAAAGACTGCATCTGGGACATCGGGCGCAACATGATACAACTTCACAAAATGACAGGGTGGAGGCAGCCGACCCTAATCGGTCCCAGCCAGACCCATGAGTATCCTAGCTTGGAACTGTTGGGGATTGGGGTCACCTCTGACAGTTCCTGTGCTCCAAGAAACTCTTGTACGAGAGTCTCCCATACTAGTTTGTCTAAGTGAGACTAGACGTGATGATGATCATGTTATCCAGCATCTAGGTAGTCTAGGGTTCCCTGAGGAACGAGTACATAGTGTGTCAAATAACGGTAGTGGTCTAGCTATTGCCTGGTCTCCTTGTTTAGCGTGTTCCATTCCAGTAGAGTCATTGGGTTTCATATTCGTAGAGTGTGATCATCCCTCTTTAGGGAGATTTGTTGTGGTCTTTGTGCATTTGCTTTGTGATGTAACCCCCCCGCCAGTTCCAACTTAATGAAATTTCCTTTCTTGTTTCGTCGTATGAGGATCCGGTTTTTGTTCTAGGTGATTTCAATTGCTTGCTCTCTAGTGATGAGAAAAAGGGAGGAAGACCTCCAACTGCAACAACCCTTGACCAACTTAACCAATTCTTGTTTGCAGGAGGCCTCCAAGACTTGGGTTTCATTGGCCCTCCGTTCACATGGTCAAACCGGCAATCCAATGGTGATCACATCCAATCGCGCCTAGATCGTTGTTTGGCTAATAATCTTGTGTTGTCTTTGTGGCCAGAACTGCAGATTCACCATCTCTCAGACCATGGCTCAGACCATAGGATGCTATTACTGCGCTTTGTGAAGGCAGCTGACCGGAGGGCTCGGCGGTTTCACTATGACATGCGATGGGACTTCAATACTGATGTTCCACCTCTAATACATGCAGCGTGGCATCAACCAGCTAGTGGCACTCCTCTCTTCCGGGTTCAAAATCAACTCAAACGCACCCGCCACGAGCTGCTTGGGTGGGCTAAAGTAGGGACAACCAATTCAGGCCGTCAAATCAGAGAGTTACGAGGTGCCACCGAGATAGCTTGGGAAGGCTACTATCGTAGATTGGAATGAGATAAGTAGGTTGGAAAATCATCTAGCAGAGGCCTACAGACAAGAAGAGTTGTACTGGAAGCAGAAGTCCCGGAACAATTGGTTGCAGGGTGGCAACACAAATTCACGCTTCTTCCACCTAGCAACGATGCAGCGTAGGAGAGTTAACTTCATTCCAGCACTCCGTGATGCTCAGGGTGACCTGCAAACTGAAGAGCCAGCAAAAAGGGAAGTTTTGGTTGCTTATTTCCAATTTTTGTTTACATCTAATGGACTAGACCCTGCAATGTTTGTGAATAATTGGGATCTTTCGATTAAGATCACTTCGGCTATGAATGACAAGCTTACTGCCCAGGTTTCCCCATATGAAATCAAACAAGCCATCTTCAGTATAGGAAAGCACCAAGCCCCGGGCCCTGACGGCTTTACTGCAGGATTTTATCACCGCTTCTGGACAGAGATAGGGGTGGATGTTTTAGCGGCAATATCCTCCTTTCGAACAGGGCGTCTCCTTCATAGTGTCAACCACACACTACTCACCCTGATTCCAAAAGTAGCCAACGCGGAATGCCGGAATCCATGCAGCAAATGCGTCCCATTGGGTTATGTCAGGTCCTGTATAAAGATATCTCTAAAATCCTTGCTAACAAATTGAGTTCTATACTCCCTAACGTGATTAGTCCATTTCAAAATGGTTTTGACAAAGGAAGGTGTATCTCGAATAATATCCTCATTGGCCAAGAGGTGATGCAGTTTCTAAAAACCAAGGTGCGAGGACCGGACAAATGGATTGCGCTCAAGCTCGACATGGAAAAAGTGTATGATCATGTGGAGTGGGAGTTCCTCTTCCGAGTGATGGAAGCTATGGGCTTTTGTGAGGAATGGATGAAATGGATCAAGGCCTGTATTACCACTGTTCGTTTCTCGGTTCTTCTCAACGGTAATGAATATGGCTATTTCCAGCCACAACGGGGTATCCGTCAAGGTGACCCTTTGTCACCACTGCTGTTTGCTCTCTACACTGAAGCGTTCTCTACAAAGATCAACCAAGCTATGTTGACAGCTTCACTCCATGACTTACGGATCCACAGGTCTGCACCTTCCCTTTCCCATTTATTTTTCGCCGATTATTCGTACCTTTTCCTACGAGCCTCTATTCCTGAATGTGTTGCATTACTTCACCTACTCTCGGAGTATGAAAACTTTAGCGGGCAGCAAGTTAACTTACACAAATCCGCTGTTTGTGTTAGTGGGAATGTTTCATAATAAGAGCTCTTGGCTATCAGCTCATATCTAGGAGTAGGTATTTTGAATCCTGATGACAGGTACCTAGGTCTCCCTTGCCAGATTCGTCGATCCAAATCACTCACCTTTCAGTTCATTGAAGAAGACCTGGCAGCCCGGATTCGTAGTTGGAAAGGTAAGGCTATGTTGTTGGCGGCAAAGGAAGTGGTCATCAAGGCAATAGGGGCGGCTGGACTAGTCTACGCCATGTCGGCATTTCGACTGCCACAAGAAACTTGTCGTAGATGTAATGGTCAACTCTCCAAGTTTTGGTGGACAGGACAGGATAAATAGAATGGAATCCACTGGATTTCGTGGAGTGCCTTTGCTAGAGTAAGTTTGTTGGTGGGTTAGGTTTCCGTGACTTTAATCGTTTCAATGTTGCTCTCCTAGCTAAGCAGGTCTAGCGCATCCTATGCAACCCGTCCAGCTACATTGCAAAACTCTACAAGGCCCGATATCACCCCCAAACCAGCTTTCTTGAGGCTACAGCAGGAACCCGACCGTTGTGGATGTGGCAAGGAATCTTGGAGGGCAGAGATCTCCTGCGTCGGGGACTGCGATGGCAGGTGGGAGATGGATCTCGCATCCTGATCCTCCAGGAAAATTGGCTTCCATCTTCCCACAGTCCTGCCCGACGTTAGTACCAAGCTTGAGTTCCCTTCCCCTCTATGTCTCTAAACTCATCTGTTCTAATTCGCGCTCCTGGAAAACAGATGTACTTCACTCCCTCTTCACTCCAGAGAGCGTTGAACTCATCTTATCCATTCCTCTCCCTCTCTCAATTTTGAATGATTGGTATGGCACTATGATGCATCTGGCAAATATTCCGTCAAAACAGGGTACCACTTATTGTCGTCTGAATATAATCTTCGTCACCCCCCTGAGGTGCTGCCTTTTGACACACGCTTTTGAAAGTTGCTTTGGAGCATTCTGGTACCACCGAAACTAAAATTCTTCTTTTGGAGGGCTGTTAGAGGTTTCTTGTCGTTGCAAACTGTTTTGTTTACTAAAACCTTGTTCACTAACACTACCTGCCCCATATGTTCTGAGGTCCCAGAGTCCTTTTCCCATCTCTTCTTTACTTGCAGGATAGCGAGAGGTTTATGGAAAGCAGACAACCTTGAGAACAGAAGCATTTTGCTTGGTGGAATGGCCCCTGCAGAGGCTTGGAATCATTTATTCTTCTCTTTGAACTTGTCTAAAGTTGATTTAGCTTATGTTTTCCTCTTGTGGCGAATCTGGAAGGGTCGGTGTTGGGGCAGTTCATGCACATGTTCAGTACTTACCTTCAGCCCTATTCCACCAATATCAATGTCAAGTTGAGGAGTGGTGAGCAGCGGAACAAGCTTCTCTTGATGGCCATGTAAGGGGTAATATTCATCCCAACAGAACTGCAACGCGTAACCTTGGAGGCAACGTTTCAGCTAATGCAACCTCATCTTCAAATACAATAAACGTATGGTTTGATGGTGCGATCAAGCGTGGCCAATGGGGAAGCATTGACTTTGTAGGCTTTCAGGAGTCAGGTAATGTTCTCTTTGCATTCGGAAAATGTTATGCAGGGATTCAGGGACCCGTTTATCATGGAGTGTTTAGCCTTACGTGATGCCATACAATGGTGCCTAACCCATTCTTTTTTCTCTGTCAAATTTCATGGGGATTCGCAATAACTAATACGGCGGGTGGTGGATGATAATTTGGCGCATGATCGAGGTGGAGCTATTTTGGAAGGTTACGGGTTAATCGGGTTCGGGTCAATCGGGTTCGGGTTAATCGGGTTGCGGGTCAGTCGGGTTGCGGGTCAATCGGGTTGCGGGTCAGACGGGTTGCGGGTTAGTTGGGTTGCGGGTCAATCGGGTTGCGGGTCAGGCGGGTTACGGGTTGTTGACTTTTAGTCAATTCGGGTGGAGCTTGGCTTCTCCTTTAAGCTCTGTGTCTTTCTATTTTGTATCTCGTCGATTCAATAGGGCTGCCCATCATGTGGAACGCAAGGCCTTTTCATCGGGAGTTCGGCTATTAGTCCTTTTCATCGGGAGTTCGGCTATTAGTCGACTCCCGCGCTCTTCTTTCTTCCTTTTGTATGACTGTCTATTTAACCCCTGACTTTGCCAAAAAAAAAAAAAAAAAGATTAGAGAAGAGAAAAAGTGGGTTCTTTTAAGACTCTTCAATCTTCATAACATACAAGCATTCCCGAATTGGTACACCAATCCGTTCATAGCAAGGATTGTACTAACAACATACATGGAAGGAAACTAAGGAAAAGATCCATTGAACCCCCCTCCGACCCTTTTCTTCTTGTACATACTACTACTCGGGCCGGGGATTCCTTTATTCCAAACTTCAACTCTCTACGTCAAAGTTACATTGTCTTTTTTACTTGATTCAGGCTCTGTACTGGGAACGAGACCCAGGGCTGAACAGCGTGACCTCATCCCTGTTAAACTTGAGCCTCCTCGCCTCCTCCCTCGACACCTGGAAGGAGTTGGCGATCACTTCCTCGGGGAACGCCCGCATCGACGAAACCCGGCCCGCCAGCTGGCTGATCTTGGCCTGATCATTGGTCTTGAACGCCACCCACTCCAGCCCTTCCCCTCCGGCACGCTTCACCACCGCGAAGTTGTGCGGCGCCGTGAGGATCTGGCCCTCACGCACCTCCCCGTCGAACACGGACCGACCGTTCTCGTCCACGATCTGCACGCGCCCGGTCCCGCGCGTGAAGTAGCAGATGCTGTGGGCGTTGATGTTCCAGTGCGGGGCCATGATGGCGTTTTGGTAGAGGTGTCCCTTCTGGGCGCTGAGGCGGAGGGAGCGGAGGATGGGGAGGTTGTGGCTGTTGACCGACGTGATGCGACCCGCGCGTGGGTTGTACACGTCGGCGCGTGAGGGGTCGTTGATGTTCTGCTTCAGCCGGGCGGAGCAGAACGTCTCCTCGACCCCGTTGGCGGGTCTGCCTCTCTGGTACTCGCTCCGCTCTTCCTCGCTGAACTCCGGGGTCAGGAACTGGAGCCTGTCCTCGACGCGGACGATGACGCCCCTGTTGTCGTTCTCGTTCTTCATCCTCCTCGCCAGGTCGGTGTCCACGTTGAACGCCTCAGCCAGGAACTGCTCGTCGAAGCCCTGGAAGATGTTGCCCGAACGCTGCTCCTGGCCGCCGGAGCCGCCGCGTCGGCTCTGGCTCTGGCTCTCTCCCCTCTGGAACCCTTGTCCGGAGAACTGTCCTCTTTGCCCTTGGATTTGCTGTTGCGGGTTACCTGCCAGGAAGAATTTCTGCAATATATATATATATTATCAACGTTTGACCTTGTTAATAATGAATGAAAGAAATCAATAATAAAATATAATATAGCACAATGTAAAAAATACAAATATAATAAAATGTAATTCCAAAACCAAGATTTATCGACCTATTTGTAGTAAAGTTAAAGTTTAGGGTTCTAGTTTGTTAGAAAAACTAAATTGGGTAGTAAAATGTAATTATTCGATAAATTTTAACGTGTGATACCCTGAAGTTGTTGTCGAGCTGGTTGGCGGGGTTGCTGGTGTCCATGATCTGGACGAGTACGAGAGGAGTCTGAGCGTCGTTGTAGAACCAGTCGGCGACCCCGGCCGGCAGGGCGATGACGTCACCCTCCCGGACCTTCCTGATCTTCTGGTGCTGGTCTCTGAACCCTTGCCTCGGGTCCTGCTGCTGCTGCGACTCCTCCTGTGACTGGAACGTCTCGGCGCACCCCGGGATGGCCGCTCCGTGGTATCCTTGTCCTGCAAATATTCATAACACAATATATTTTCAATTTCACATTTACAAGACGGAGAAAGCTAAAAAAGAAAAAAAAACGGAGAGGAAAATTAAATGCAATGGAGTTGACCTTGGTCAACGTAGACGAGCTTGGGGGCGTTGGTGTAGGCAGGGAGGAGGAGGCCGCGCTCCTCGATGGTGTGGCGGAGTGCGGCGGCGCCGGCGCAGCGGAACTGGTCGTCGTTCTCGTCCCAGACGTCGGTGACGCCGGCCTCGGAGGTGAGGCGGCGGTCGGGCTCCCTGGCGCTGAGGCGGCTGAACTGGCACTCGTCGAGGCTGTAGCCCTCGCCGCGCCGCTGCTCGCCGCGGACACGTGTCCATCCGTGCTGGGAGGTGACCTGCTCCAGCTGGGCGGAGCAGGCGTGGGAGAGGACGAGGAGGCAGAGCGAGAGCGAGACAAGACAAGGAACGGACGCCATGGTTGTCTGTGTGTGTGTGTGTTGGGAAAAGGAAGACGAGAGAGCTCGATCTTTATAGAGATGGTGAGTGCTTACTTGGTTGGTAATGGTTGCTGTGTGGCTGTGAGTAGAGATGATTGCATGGCGTGGGACGTGGCGAATGGGTTCTGTTTCGAGTTAAGGGAGTGAAATGAAAGGTATGGGAATGGGATGGTGTTTCTGCATGGAATCTTGTCGTGTAGTGGATTTTGCATGCCTTGGGGTTGCTTGCTTGCTTACACATCAGTCTTTCACCACGGCCACGTGGACAGACCAAGTTATGATGAGGGGGAATCGGCACAACTATATATATAGAGAGAGAGAGAGAGAGATAGCTAATTAATAATGAATTGAGACGAGCATCAGGGTGAGTTCATCGGTTTCTTAGGGCGGCACTTTCGAATCTTATTCATTTACTCTTTGGATAGTGGAGAGCTTTGAGTTGGCAACAATGCATGCATGCATGGTACCTTTTCTAGCCTTCCACTAAGCCTTGTCGTTTGTGTTAGCTAAGCTAGGTGGCGGTTTTAGGTTTCAATAACTCGAGTTAGCGAGAGTCGAGTTGTTGGGAGAGGTTCAAATCTCTCGATTACAAAAGGCTTTTAAGTCGACCTGTTTTTTTATAAAGCGGTTCAATTGTGATTTGTGACTCAATTGTGATTCATATAGTGTTTACTAACGTACATCCTCAAACGAAAGCCACCATAGCACATGAAGTCGACCTTTTTGCTAAAGCGGTCGACCACTAGAGACATCAGGTCAACCACTTGTTGAATGTAACAAACAAACAATAGTATATTCAATTTACCTCATACGCGCTTACTGGTCGACCATTTTGCTCAAATCACCCTAACTTACAAGCCACAGTAGCAAAGTGCTAAGTTATTTACAATAATATTTTAAGGTGATCTCCCTATCTCCTCCTGCGAGTAAATCATCCCAGCAATTAACTACTCAAGTGATATGAAGAAAGTTATCAGAAAATTACCATTAGAGCTATAAGGCACAGATCCGTTATGGGTTTAAATTGTCGTTGGGAAACACGAATTCTGATTAGGAACAAGTTCAGCCATTATCGATCATCCCATAAAAGTGTTAATTAACACATACATTGTACAACTCCTTGCCTAGCCATCTCACAACAAAAAACACAAACCTTTTTTAGAAATGGATCAAAATTGAACCCTAGTTATTATAATCTTGCAACTACATTATGCGATGACGGACATAAAATTTATGGACAGGTGTGTCAGACTATAAGTATTTGTTAATTACCATTATTAAAACTGTTCCGGAGGTTTCAAAATCAATTTTTTGTACCAATTAAAATCTAAGTTTCTCACAAAAAATTTTGAAAGAAAATGCATCCACAAACATACCTTTTCAATACTTGTTATGCCTTGGCACTGCATGCTTGACATGACATACAACCGCCACCTGGCTAGCTAACACAAATGACAAGGCTTCGTGGCATGCAGTGTTGCCAACTCAAAGCTCTGTACTGTCCAAAGAGTACTAAGTGAGCCTAAAAACATATGAACACAACCTGATGCCCGTCTATGTACATTATAACTGACTATATAATACAAAATACTTTATTATTATTGAATTTTTTATATAACCTCTGTTACCGTTTAACAATATTTACCACCAACACACTTTTTCAATACTTTGGTCCATCCTAAGTGCACATGACCTAAATGTTAGTGAGTTTTATAAAATTTATTATTGAACATCTCCCCACAACTCGAGTTATTGAGATCAATTGAACTTGACATGGTATCTGAGTATTCTGTGACCGAGAGGTCTCCTATTCGAATCTCAGTGAACCTCATATGTTTTGTTAAGCATATGGTGTCCGGACCTATGCAAACTTCAAACCCATACCCCGGTTTCTAACGGTTCACTTCGCTAAATGCGGTCCCCTACTTCGGTGACAGTTTCCTTGCGGCTTGGCTTGCTTGCTCGCTAATCATTGGCTTTAGCGAGCAATGAGAGCACGTTGACATGATATGAAATCAAAAAGATCGGTTTTTTAGTAAGGCACAGAATACATCGTAAAATATTCAATATGATTCCACAAGATCTATTTTCATTCAAGGAAAGAATTGACGCCAATTGAAGGGAGTCTTTCAGGGGTGAAACCCAAGTCATTTCCTCCTTCCTAGCAATAATAAGTCTCTCTTTTTTTTAGGGGAACGGAGCAGTAAAAGAAGGAAGCAATGAATATTAAATCTTTCTTGGATAGGAGGCAATTGACAGTGGGTATAGTAGCGGTCCATTCAAGTAAAAAATGTCCAGGCGAGCCGAAGCAGTCCCAGATCCTGAACCCCCTAGGCTTGCTATCTGACTGACGAGGATTTCTGTCTCTCACGAATTGGATTTGAACCAATATCAATGTACTTTCCTTTTAGTAGATCGTGAGTGGGTCTTTCGTCCTCCTCATTATGTTCGCAATTTCTTTCTTTTCGTGGAGAATTATATCCAGTAATTGGGGTTCTATAGCTTAATTGATATTGCACACAATCATTTAACTATTCACTACGGGGAAATTGACCTCTTGCAACACTCGGATTGCAACATTATTTAATAGTGTTGCACTAAATATTTAATGACAACACTTTTTTCTAGTGTTGCGTATTAGGTGTTTTACGCAACCCAAATTAATTATCTGCCAAAATATGTTGCCTTTGTCTACTATATGCAACGCTTATACAACAAATGGTTGTTATGTTGCTTTTTTGTATATTTGAAGCAACCCTTTAAGAAATTAGGTTGGAAACTGTTAACTTTTAAATTTTGATGGATAGCTTTATTGCATCCATCATGGTTCGACACTTCTTTATTATGTTATGTGTTTCTTTTTCTAACCAAGATATTGTCTGCTTTGAAGCAAGCATGGTTTTGCCTTTGTGGTGCATTATGATTACTTTCCATGAGATCAATCTATGTACTGCTCCACTTTAAGCTCTTTTAACTTCAGAGTTATAAGAACTACTCCTCTATGTCCCCCCAAAGCTATTATTGTCGGTAAATATTGAACTATTTCTAGTAATCCATGAATCTCTCCCATTTTTTACTAATATAAGAAAGTAACCAAAGGAAACGAAAGGTAGAACTTCCCTCCACCAACCAGAAAAAGATTAACAATGGCTATGAAATTAGTGCTCCACTTTTATACGTCTCGTCGTTTATCAAATTAATGATTAAGCTTTTAAGAAAATATGATTTCTTGCAACTATGATTCTCTATTGAATTTCATAATTTTTATGGTAGTTTGTTAGATTCGGAAAGTGCATGACATTCTGGGTTATATGAGGTTGATTGGACTATTATAGATGTCGACCGGAATAGATAATAGCTCAAGATTTTTGTTCTTGTACAAGGTCGGCTGTAAAACCAATCATTTTAATCTACCAAAAGGATGATTTGTTAAGTTTGATGGTCAAGCGTTCTTCTACCTCTTCTTTGGAATGGTCGACCTCGTCTTGATATGGTCGATCACTTTGCTAGAAAGGTCAACCTTTCTACTTATGAGTCTCTTACGCGTGGTGACTGGTCCATGTACCTCATTCTTCCTTTTGAATGGCCACGTTGGTGTAATCGGTTGACCGCAAATATTTATTGGTCGAATATTTTGTCTAAGTCATTGTGATTGCAAGTCGCCATAGGCATACCCTAATACTTAATAGACATCCAATAAAAAGTAAAAGTTTAATAGACTTTTGGTTTCAAATTGGCACAATGCAGTTATCCTTGTGATAGTGGTTTTTGGGAGGAGGAGCTCAAAGTGATTTTTAGTTTTACTTTTTAGATTTAAAATATTGTTTTAAATAAAATTTTTAAGGAGAATACCTTTAATTAATTTTTTTGCATCGAATAAGTACATCAATCAAATATGTATTAGACACATTTTTCGGAGTATTTTGGTACCTGAACTGATATATTTTTCGTGAATGCACCAATTTTGAATATCTATATTATTGGTTAAAAAATTCATGAACTAGATGTCACAAGTATATTGAGATAGAATTGAAGACCGCTTTAAAAGAAAAAACTATCTCTTGATCTGGTCTAGGTCTCCGCCGCGATGGCGGCTTCGCCTCCGCCGACTCCTTTGCCCGCCAATGGCAGAGGCTCCGACATGGTCTCCACTGTTTGCAGTTGCGCCAGAGAATGGTTTTCATTTCAATCCTCTGGAGCGTATTAAGGATGATTTTTGTTTCCCAAGGAAATTAGGGGGAAAAGGTGGCGGTTTTGTTTCCTTCAGAATACCTTCAATATTAAGGATGTTAGCGGATTAGTATTATTTGTAATGGGCCAAATTGTGATTTGTGGTGATTGGCCCAAAACCCATGCATCCGACGTGTGGGTGCTAGGGTTTCTGCGCCTATATATATTCATTGTAACCCATCGAGACCCTCGAGAAAAAAAACCAGTACGATTTTGAGCTTGGAGAGCCATACTCTTCCGTGGATTAGTCCTGGCATTCCAGGGATACCACGTTAAATTGTTTTGTGTCCGTTTATGTGCGTTTGATTTTGTTTTCAGTTTCTAACATGATATCAGAGCACTCGACTATGGGAGTTTCAGTTTCGTGTGTTCGTGGAAGGGAAAGGGCTTATCAGGGTTCTTGATGGTACTGTACCCAAGCCGACTCCGCCGGCTACAGAGGATCAGATCACACTCTAGAATTTGCATGATACTAGGGTAAGATCATAGATCTTAAATTCTGTTGAACCCAATATTTGTCTTGGCTTACGTATGCACCAGACTACTAATGGGATGTGGAGAAAGCTGGCGACCACATACTCACCACAAGTGCAGCCCATCAATTCGAGCTCCAGTGCGCGCTCGACAAATGGGAACAAGGAGACAAGGACATCACTGCTTACCTGATGGAGGCGCATGAGATATGGACCGAGCAAGACTTGCTCACAACGGCGCTACATCCAGCTGCTACTTCCGTTGTTGTGATCGAG